GCAGCCGCGCCACCTCCCCCATGGGCCGCGTCATCCTCATCAACACCCCCATCGAAGGTGCGTGGGGTGCCCTCCCAACCCTCTGCCCACCCCCATGGCCAGGGGGGCCCTGACGCCTGGATTCCCTGGCTCTGGGGGCAGAGACAGTTGTCCTGAGACACCCAGCCCGGGTGACACATCCCATCCCCCGTCCCAACAGCCAGCAGCAATGAGAGCGACATCATCAATGCCATCACGGTGGAGAAGAGCGTGGATGGCAAGCTGGGCTTCAGTGTCCGCGGCGGCTCCGAGCACGGGCTGGGCATCTTCGTCAGCAAGGTGGAGGAGGGCAGCGCTGCCGGTAAGTGGGATGCGGCAAGGGACACCGGTGGGGACAGGCACGTGCTGGCAGGACCCTCTCGGGAAGCTCCCAGTGACACATCGCCACAGTGGCAATGCCACCCTTCCTGGTGGCAAGCCACCATTTGTTCCCTGCTGCCTCTGGCCGTGGGGTTTTCAGGCTGCCCATGGAGAAGGGCTGGGGACGGGAGTGGACAGCCCCGTGTCAATGGCTCTGAGCTCCATCCCCAAGCCACAGGGAGGTGACAGGCCCCCCGCGCCTGCCACGGCCTTGGTGTGATTGCCAGGCATCCCCACCTCTGTACCCATGGAGTTTCAATCAGGTTGGGGACACATTTAGGGAGGGGACACCAACCAAAAAAATGGGTGCTGGGTCAGGTGCCCAGCCAAGCCGTGTGCCCCTCGCAGAGCAGGCTGGGCTTTGTGTCGGTGACAAGATCACGGAGGTGAACAGCGTGAGCCTGGAGAACATCACCATGAGCAGCGCTGTCAAGGTCCTCACTGGCAACAACCGCCTCCGCATGGTGGTCCGGCGGATGGGCCGCGTACCGGGCATCAAGTTCTCCAAGGAGAAGACGGCATGGTGAACAGCTTATCCTTCATACCAGCACCCCAAAGCCCAGCCTCATGGAGGGCGTCATGGGGAGGCTTGGTGGGGGGTGCTGGGGAGCAGGGAGGGTCCCAGAGCTGAGGGACCCCTAGGGTGGGGGGCATTGGATGTCTGTGACAAAAGCACGGAGAGCCCAAGGTGGAGTACAGGATGGGATAGGAAGGTTTGGAGCAGGCAGGGTGGGTGCAAGCCCCATCCTCAACATCCCCCACCCTCATCGCTCTTCCTCTGCCGGGTGATACCAATGGCCCCACCCTGCTGGAGGACGAGAGCTGGACCCCTGAGCCCCCCCAACACTGTGCCCATGCTCCAGGGTGGATGTGGTGAACAGGCGCCTGGTGGTTGAGAAAAGTGGCTCGACGCCATCGGAGAGCGGCTCTGAGGACGGGCTACGGCGCATCGTCCACCTCTACACCACCTCCGATGACTACTGCCTGGGCTTCAACATCCGTGGCGGCAGGGAGTTTGGCCTCGGCATCTACGTCTCCAAGTATGGCTGCCCTAGGGGGCACGTGGCACCCCGATCCCCGCTGGGCCCACATTGGGGCTCAGCACCCCCTCCCTGGCTGAGCCCCCCACCCTCATAAGACTGTGGGCATTACCACCTGGGTACTGGGGCACGAGGCTTTCCGGGTGGAGGTGTGGGGCAGGAGCAGCGCTCCGAGGAGAGTTTGGCCCCATCCTGCCCCCTCTTCCCCCCCGCTGCCCTAGGGTGGACCCCGGGGGGCTGGCAGAGCAGAACGGCATTCGGGTGGGAGACCAAGTCCTTGCAGCCAACGGAGTCAAGTTCGAAGACATAAGCCATAGCAAGGCAGTGGAGGTGCTCAAGGGGCAGACCCACATCATGTTAACCATCAAGGTACCCACAACCAGGGCTGTGGGACCCCTGGGTGAGGTAGGGGGGTTGGTGTGTCCCTGTGCTGGCACTGCCCCAGCTCAGCCCAGCGCCTGTGGGGCTGGCACAGCCACCAGCTGGTTGGGTTTCAGGGCGGGTGGGAGGCGGGGGGATGCATTATTCATGGCTGGCACCAGATCGGGTTCACCCAGGGCGGCCAATGCTGCTGACCCCCATGTCCTCTCCCCCTGTCCCTAGGAGACTGGCCGGTTCCCTGCCTACAAGGAGATGGTGGCCGAGTACTGCTGGCTCAGTCGCTGTAAGGGCAGTGCTGCGCGGGTACCGGCTGGGGCGCGGCAGGGCTGGGACCCCCACACAAGGGGCATCTGATCCCAGTGGGGAGGGATAAGGTCCTCATGCCATGGGGTCCCATGGCCTCAGAGAGGGCATGAAGTTTCCTGGGCCACGGTCAGCATTCCCATGGTCCCCATGACCTCGCAGGGTCCTACCTGTCCCCTGTTGTTCTGGGGGACGTGAAGAGCCCCATGCTGCAGCCAGCAGCCACCTGGTCCCCACAGCCTTGTGGGTCTCCACATGTCCGCTGTCCTTGGGGTGGAAGCAGAGCTCCCTGAGGCCCCGTAGTGTGTCACCCCACGTCCCCTCTGTGCCTTTGCAGTGACCAACGGACAGCTGCAGCAACTGTCTCAGGCCTCGGAGACCAGCTCCTCCATCTCCTCCTACTCCTCGGGTCCAGCGCCAGGGGCGATGAACGGGTTGGGGACGGCCACCCCGGGGCCCCCCACCCGCACCGTGGATGTGGCCATCTCCCCCGAGGATGGG